GTTGACTCATAAAAGAGTGGACTCATACACAAGAATTCCTCAAGCTATTTATATAATCGTAAAAGTTAAAGCGTGTCCATTAATAATTCATCTGTAATTACATTGAAAGAACATTGAATGAATATTGATTCCAATGTAATAACTATTAAGTTTTGACGTGTACAGCACTTGCTGGTTAGGAGTTAAAATCGCTATGCCCGGTCAAGAGATGAAAGTGCTTACTCGGCGTCGCCTTGATTTATTGGCTCTCCCTTTCGTTGGCTCGGAGTCTTTCGCTTTAACAATTTCTCTTTATGAAAATTGAGAGAAACTACTATCTGCAACAATATTGCTAGGATTTCATTTCTGTTCTAACTTCCGATTGTTTTTCCGTTTGTCACTATGAAAACCACCGTCATGTTAGATGTCAGTCGAATATTTTAAACAGAGTTTCCTTTGTGTTGAATTTACACGCTTATTGATAAATATTATCTATGTACTAATGACTACTATTTATTGTATATTGTGGAGTATTCTTTGTCATATAACTGATTGAGACCATCAAAATTAATCTAATTCAAGAAAAACTATGCACGACACGCAGTAAGAAAAAAAGAGTCTTGTAAGTTCGAGGCAATCATGAATTGTGGAACATTGTCTATGGCCACGCAACAGTCTTTACTGTGGCCCGAATCTGGAGGTCCAACCAGGTAAATACCACAACATTACAGAAGACCGGCGTGAAGTGGAACTGTTATACTTCTGTTTTTCGTCTGTTGACTGGAGTAGCCGGGGCCCACTTTATTAAAAGTAACTTATCCGGGGCCCACTGTATAGAAAGGTAGCAACGCAATCACAAGATACGTTGCCACCTTTGATGTCAGGTGAACCGTCAGTTCGTTTGCTACCGTCTCACATAAGAAAAAATCAATTAATTTACTAATATCCAAAATAAAGATCTTGAAAAAAATTACAACACCACACAGTTTATTGTCAGATCTTTAAAGGTCTAATTTAGTGAACGGTTGTAGTTTTTTGACATTCAATGAGAGCTTAAAACAAGAGCATGTATTGAATAAACAAATTTTTATTTTGACTTTGACTTTAAGATCAATACATCGGAATAAAATTTAAATAAATATATATTTTTTCGTTTTAATGTTCAATAGATCGGAATAAAATTTATAAAATAAGATTTCTATGATATAGTACGTTCAATAAAAGTTTGTAATTGTATTATGAATAATAAAGCCTTCATCACGAAGAAATACCAACTTTAAAAATATCCCTTGCTGATATTTGCAGTAATTGTGGTGCAAATGAGAATTTTCCTTTCTTCTCTTCTCTCTGTTCCATTTCAAAAATTGCATCTCGCCGTACGTGAGCCCAATATCAACTTACGTATTGCCTGCCTTGTCACGGCAAATGAAAGGTAAGAGCAGGAATGGGAATGAGATTTTAAAAATATATCACAATTACCTCCTCTCGCCTCGTGCATTGGCGTGTGCTCACGTTTTGTCCTTCGACACTTGTTTATTTCTTGTGTTTTAGGAGCCTCCACTAACCAATTAAGTGTGCTGATTACTAAGCAGAGAGGCCGTCTTAAATAGTACCATTAGTAATTGTCAGCATTTAGGTAACCTTCTAGGGTTGCACTTAAGCTGACACGGCTCTTATTTGAATGTCGGACCCTTCTTGCCGTTGGACCAATTTAGTAGTTTAATGAGGCAAGCTCTAAATATACCGAACACCAAAGAAGTACGGTAGTTAAGCTTTGAGGAGGAAAACTTTAAAATGTTTACAGTTAGATAATTACTTTTCCAGCTTTATTCGGCCAAGCTTTTATTTTTGAAAAGTGCGACTGCATAAAGGTTTCATTAGTCCATTTTACATGTGCTTTATTATATACCAGAAAAAATAGTTTGGGATCCCGCACGTAACCGAAGCATTTACTCTATTTAAATTTTTCGTTTCTTACAAAAATTTCATTACATTTTATGCACGTTTCTTTTGTTCATACTACCTAGTTACTTGTGATATATATATTATATTATAATTATATAAAATATTTAATTATTATTCACACAGCGTAAAATATCCAATACCTCACTTTTATCAAAAAGTTATACATACATGTATATGAGTGTCTTATTTTTGTTGTCGTTTGTCTATGTTTCATTTCAATATAGGAAATTCTGAATTAATATCTTCTAGTGCGAATTTTCTTACTTCCCAAATAACTCTGGCTTTTAAGCTTCAATATTCTAGCTGGAAAATTTAAAGCCGTCACTGATATGAGAGCGTCCGTGAAGAGTTAATGAGAAAAGCGAGATTCCAAAAGAAAACGTCACGTTTACCACCGTGATAGATTGCTCCATCATTGCTCCTATTTACATAATGTGTTTATCTCGCATCTTATCTGTTCTGAAACTAAACTGAAGGTTATTTTCATACGTTTATTTGGGCCATAAAATTTTTGGAAAACATATTTTACTTTTTCTAGTTTGCTGACAAGTTTATATATTCATCAATCCGTTAAAGTTTTGAGATGGTTATCAAAACGCCTGAAATCCCTATTTAAAAATACATTCACAAAGCAGCAGGTAAAATGAAAACAATGTAAGAAATATAAGTAAGTATTTCCAAGGTGAAAAAACTGGTCAAGTGCGAGTCGAACTCATGCGCTGAGGGTTCCATCCCTACCCATTATACCGCCGTAATAAAATTGAGAAAAAATCACCACCAATTTTATCAGGTACGAGTGCATCTAGCAAGTTGAAAATTATACCAGATACTGCGGTCTGTAGGCCCTATAAGGTGTATAAAAGTCAAAGCAAATTTAGATTATTACGAAAACTTGTAACGGTTCAACGGGAACTACTATATAGGTTTTCGACCCAAAACCTATAGGATACTTCTGATTCAGGTAAAATCAATTTTGGTTAAAAGCAGTCTTAAAGAACAAAATAAAGAGAAAATTCCTAAAAATAAAAAAGTATTATCGAGAAACTTCTGAGAAAACAAACGTAACGTAATTCTGAAAAATCAGTGGTGACACATGGGCAGACATACGGACAAGAGAGTAATCTTATAAGGTTTCCTTTTTTACCTTTTAAGGGACGGTAAAAAGTATTTAAATGGAAGGCATAAACATAATAAGAACATATCATGCCTAATTATATTATAATATCATATAAATTAAATTAAAATGTTCTCTTACTCTAGTATTAGTAATTGTACATTTATTAAAATACAAATATTTTATTATTAGTTATATCCAAAGAAAGCTTCATTTATAACCTTAGCGAACACATCAATCTACAACAAATACAGAAGCGATCTCTATTCTGATGTAGAACACGGAAGCGGAATTCTCTACGCAAGCGAATACTCCAGCGTGGGATCCGTAATTGGCTTATGGAAAGAAAAAAAAAAGCAAGCGCGTTAGATGACGCGATCGCGTTCAAGGATTAGAAGGTAAATGTTTCGCCGATGAGGTGAAGCGCGAGAGCGAAGTGGAACCGGCTAACGCAATACAACAGATTACTTTGCGATGATCATCAGGTGAGCGCTGATGCAATCGCACACATCGTAAAAATGATAAACATTCTACACTTTGTGTTTGTTCCCACTTTACGCGCAACTTAGACTTAAATGAATTTACGAATAGATGGATTTCATTTTTATTTAATGATATTGTATCATTTCGAAAAGGACCGCATCAGCGATGTTTTGGGTAAAATCTAGTGTCCATCGGGGTATTGATATGTAATAAAGATTATCCAGTTGGCTGTTTCGTCGGTGTTTATAAAGTTCTTCTTTCAACATATTTCTTTATTATACTTAATGGTGTATATAAATTTACACGTATCAGAAAATGGTTGGAGGTATTTCCTAAAATCCGGTGAACAAATGTTTAATTGAGGAACTTATTTTGGCAAAATAATAAATTAAAAAATGAGATGTATCAAAATTTTACAAATTATGCTGCATTTTGGGATCCAACATCTGTTACGCCAAATATGAAGGAGACAATCTAAAGAATAATATAAAACATATTAATATGATTAACATATAATATTCCACACAAGATACAACCACAAGGTATAAGCTTTAACGCAACATCCACCCGTACGGGCTTATCCTTTAATGTCTTATTTTAATGTATTTTTTCTTACCAGTCAAATGTTTTTCATTATATCGGTAAGTTAAGGTACTTTTTAAGTGGGCCTACGTCGATACGTGGCCAACTATATAAAAATAAAATCGATTACGTTTATTTTTAAGTTAGGAAACAATATTATTATAGGCTTTTAAAATTTTATCTATGTATATGTTTTAATCATGCCCTTAATTCATGAATAGAGTGATTAGCGATAAAGTCGATTTAGAGAATAACTTTTCAACTATCGAAATAGAGTCATTCCAGTTTGGGCGAAGAGAAAAAGTTGAACTACTAAGCGTTGCTAAGATAACTTCGAGTTATTCCAGTGAAAGCGGAAAGTTTTAATTGATGATCCTTGGATAGGATATTAGGGCACTGAGTGGAAAGGTGGGCTTAATATGGGGAGTTGTTTCGTATATTAAACCCTTGTGTATAAACGTCGCAAATTGTTCAAGAGTTTAGTTGGGGTGTTAACAACAAATTGTATTTTTTTTAATTAAGTCGATTAAAATAAAATTAAATGTAATATTTAACCACATGGTATTTTTACTTTTGATACAGTAAGAAGACTGATATTGAAAAAATAAATCGTAATATTGAGTGACAATCTCGATCTATTAATTCACTCCCTAATAATATATTAAATACTAACTGCTGCCCGCGACTGCGTCTACGTAGAGGGGTGAAAATTTAGGGTTGGGTAAAAAAAGGGATTAACGAATTGTTAGCCAAAGTGCAGAACGTGACTGGATTTATTTATATCAGTTTTATGTCACAAAAACTTTACCCGCTTGCAGAAACTTTTGCAATTAAGAAGGAAAATTAAGAATTAAACGAACTTCAACAAGCAAAGGGGATGTTGAACGGTAGTTGGCAGCCCTTAGCCGCTCCGCCTCTGGCAACAAAAGTAATAGCGAGCAAGTTAACGACTGTTCCCAGTTCAGGTGACACTCGGAAGCCTTTTAGTGGAGTTTTGTCGCCATGTCTCCGCTGCCGAGAACTACTTGGCCCGCACTATTCAATAACTGACGATCAATTAAAACTTGGTTTCTGCTCCGCGGCTCACGGGAGACTCTTCTCCGGAATTAATTACGCCTTTCGTCGAATATTTCTTGATCTTAAATCCATAGAGAAATTGATATTGTATCTTCTCGTATCTCATGTCAATGAAAAGAAATTTACCTCTATAACTTTGTAAATAGAACAGTATTATTTGCCACATCTATGGATTACTCATGATTAGCATGGTATTAATACCTATTTCGTATGAATCGACTACCACTTGTGGTCATTGTTAAACATTACTACTACAAGTGGCAGTTGTAATATGTTTACAAATTAATGATTGTTGCAATACCTCCTCGCGGTGATTTTTTATGCTTACATTCAAACCTTTTGCATCGACTAGTTGACAGTTCAATTTATGGAAATTTATGAGAAAATACTCAAACATTTTTTTTATTTTCTTCACATTGGTGTATTGTCGGAGGTCTTGCTATATCTGACTATCGTAAAATAACCGTAAACGGAACAAATCAACGCTCATAACCATAAACGTCAGATCATTCTCAGTTGCGTCACTAAGGCCCAGTAACGCAATAAAGCGCTGAGACCTTCATTACTAAACATATTTCAGTCCTAAATCTTTATTAATCCAATGTTAAGTCAATTAGGCGTCGAGTCCCTTATTAAGGGCGGATATAGCGGATACATGCGGATATAAGTGCTTCGGGGCGCGTCGGGTCGGAAACTAGAATCGCGGCGCGGTTGCCCGCTCTCTAATGGGCCCCCGTAACGAGGGGCACCGAGGACCCTTGAAATCGCGCAGACACAGGGTTGCCAACTTTAAGCGAGATCCGAAAATTCGATCTTCAATTTTCTTTATCTAGAACTGCCCAATTCCATTTGTTAGTGGCGATGGAGTCATAGACTTGCTCAATGACTGCCTATTTCACTTGGCTTAATGACGTCTACGTTATATCCGCAAACCAAAAAACCGATGGTATTTTGCTTCAAGTCTCAATAGGCCAATGAAGTAATCGAGGTCTCATCGGGTATCGGTTTGCGATTTATGATCTTTAATTATTTTCATATAAAGATAAAATATAACCTGGACGAGGGAAAAAAATCTTTTTGATTTTTTAATGTATAGCCTAAAAATCGTTACTAATATTATAAAGCCGAAAGTTTGTATGTATGAATGGATGTTTGTTACTCTTTCACGCAAATACTACTGAATGGATTCTAATGAAATTTTACAATAATATAGCTTATTACATCAGAATAGGCTAAAATTTTTATACATATTTTATGTATATCAGTCTTTCTGTCTGAATGTTACGCCTTCAGCCAATTCTACGCAGACGTAGTCGCGGGCAGCCATTAGTAGTATTATATACGTATAGTTGTGCGGGAAGTCCATGGATGCAGTTGGCTCAGGATCGTACTTCGTGGAACTCGTGCTTATGTTCAGCAGTGGACTCGAACAGGCTGAAATGATGATGATGATACGTATAGTTAATAAAAAATTCAATTTTTTTATTATCCATTGTCATCAAAGAAAAATTCAACTTCAAAGCGGTCTGTTAGTATTTCCAATTTATATTTAAGACCGCAAACAACTGTGTACAGTAAAATTAATTTGTTTTAACTTTCAAACTTACTGGGGACTTTAGCTCTTACAATTATAATTCGATTGATTGATAAATAATTTTTGTCGACAGTTACGCACCGGGGCAATTTAAACAAAAGGTAAGCTTTATGGCTTTTACAAACGGGATCACAAGAAAATACATTACCGGACTAATGGAAACGGGGGAAAAGCAAAACGGGAGGAAAATAAAAACCATTAAACATTTTCAATAAAGGGAGGTCGATGTCATTTATTTTAGCCATTAATTCAGCTATTGTGAGTGACATGGGGCGATCGGCCACGAATTCAATCAATTGACCCAAACCGTAGCTTAATTTGAAAAGTGAGGGTTCGAAACTCCGACCTCTGGATCATTCGTTACGTGTAACATTTATTACCGATTGTATTGTGTCTAATGGAATGCCCGTTAGTTGCTGTATGTGGACAAGTTAAAGCGAACCACGCCATTACCTTAGATATGTATATTCAAATAAATATAAAGATAATTGATGATAGTGAAGTACTATCGAGGGTAATACATTAAAAAAAAATCAATATCAGATAATATATATCTTTAAAATGACCTGTTCAATTTCTCATACACATATTTTATTATTTATCTTGACTAAAGTTCTATTATCACTTGGACATCCTTCAGAGTAAATTAATAGGCCTCCTCGGTACAGAGGTTTTATAGGTATGGTCCACATATCTTGGAAATATTTCTAAGACATGCAGATTTTAAGCTTTTATTAATAAGTTTTTTATATTTTTCTTCATCGCTGAGCACGTTATAGAACTGAGGTTGCTCTATTATATTCAATTAAAAGCGAGCGCCCGGACAATGATCTATCACGGTTTTCAGAGTATTGCTGGATAATTTGTAATTAATTGATTGTACGACAGTAAGCATCATCAAACAACAATTCTCTCTATAGTAAACAGCTTTAACGGCCTTAGGATTGGATTATTATGTTGAAAAATTCAACGATTATTCATAAATGAGTCACAATAATGTAATCACGATTCACGTTGAGAACGGTTTGGCCGAAGTTTACTCCTGCATCGACACAAGGTCGCCGACCCACATTGTAGCAGGATGTCAGCGCTTACCTCGTTGAATCATATGATTTTATTTGATCATTCATCAATTCGTTTTCACGTACCGTCCGGGCCAATGTGGCCGTTGAGCATTTCGGAGTGGAGTATTATGGCTGTTTCGGATTGCCGCTGACAAGTGGTGACACGATACGCGCGGAAGATATGTTTGCGAGTTGATCATAAATAAGAGCGGCCGGTGGAAAGCTGCTCTGTGCTTTACCGAGAAACCGTAGTGGGTCTGCCAAGCGGTCGGTTAACAGTCAACAACGGAATCGCCGTGGTCGCGCTGTTCCACTGCGCTTATTCCGAGCCACCTTGCTGTCCGACATTGCACGATGTACTTATACCACGACACGGTATTGAGTTACGTTTGACAAGGTCAGACTATAAAAATATTGAAAAAATAAAAGTCTAGCAATGCCAAAAAATGGGACAATCTCATTGCCGATCACAAAAATCGTCACCGTTTTATATCAGCTTAATTTTGGCAATGTTTTATATTAATCCCTTTATGCGGTTGTTTATTTCTGTACAGTTTTTAAGTATTTAGGTATCACTTTATGATTAAAAACAGTGACGACTGACTGTAGAAAAGACGACAAACTTACAAATGTATCTGATAATTTTTTTTTGAATAATTAGTATTAAATAAAATTATTCAAAAAATATATACAAATTAATATTTTTTAATTTAATACATAAACTCAATTTTGTCAAAGTAATTATTGTTTATCCTTTTCTAGAGCTATCGCCTAAATGATTAATATCTCCATAAACTGTACTGTTACAAAAACGACACGTTAAGCGCCTGTCAAGTACGGTGGGAATTGGATAGATTTAGGGGTTAACCAGCCATTTCTTTCTTTGTGAACGAAATGCCATATCCGAGAGGCAATAATTGTTATATTCGATGAAAATTAATATGGTGCAATAGTAAAGCGAGCAAATCTGAATCTGAAAATGTGATTCCGTAATTTGGATTTGGATGTTCAAAGTGTTGAACACACGAATAATTATCGATATTTTTTTTCGTGAAAGGAAGGTCTTAGTTAATGCCTGCACGGAATTAGTTTCGACGGCAGTCACGATTCTATATAAGCAATTATCATTCTTCTATAGATGCCCCCCGCTTTAGTGTTGATTGGACACATCCACATATACATAAAAAATATATATTCTGTATATCTGTATACGCCACCAATCACAATACATATCGAAACGACAGCCCAAGTCTACCATCGAACACTGGACACAAATATAAGACAGACAAATTTTCATGTGTAAGTAGTTACATAGGGAAAATATGATGTAAGGTACTTAAAGTTCAACCCATGATCGCGAATCAACGACGTTTACCAGTTGTAGCTGATTAAGGTGCAGGAACTAAATATGAAAAACTAAATCAAAATTCATTAGAAAAAGTTTGAAAACATTATTGATTTATTAAGTGTTCCTTAAATTAGATTAAAGCCGCGGTCGAGTGAGTATCACTCATTTCAAGTATTTGCGTTATTTCTTCAACGTCGTGTACGACGTTATTTAAATGTCACAAATGCATTGTATGTATAAAAAAGTAGGAATCATATACATCGATACATTAAATAATTAATGTACTGTGAAGTAGAGAGGAAAATAATTGACTGTCGGATCATTAACAAAATAACCATTCCAACTGCTTATCTTTAAAATGTTTAGCCAATGACGAAAAAACATTCAAGTAGATATTAAAAACTGTAAAACTAAACATTATACTGTACTGTTTACGCACACTGTTTAAGAAAATATAATAAAATTTAATATAAATAATAAAATGAATAAATATTTTTGGGACACATTTTTAAACAACGTTCTCTAGTCCCAAGCTAAGCTATGCTTGTACGTAGCGTAGCATAACTGATAAATATACTTAAACATACTTTTCTTTTGTAAATAAATACATATTATACACATATGAACACACCCAGACACTAGAGAAACACTATGTTCATCACACAAACATTTCAGAAGTATCTTATTATAAATACTTCAATAGAATATGAATTTTTAAATATAAAACATTACAATCTACACTCAAAGTTTTTTCTTTTACATCACCTTACCTGTCTGTGTTCTATCTTGACTACCAGTTATTCATTTTTTTTTTGTAAGATACTGACTTACAGTTAAACCCAGCAGATGGTGATGTCAGCAAGGTATGCATCTTAAATTCAAGGATCTTGTATCTTGTATCTTGTATTAACTGATGTTTTTGCTTTCAGTCCCGAGACTATTAAAGCTTCATCTGACGCAGAACCGGTGGGCTAGCCAGAACCCACGGGTTTGGGCCCTCCGATGTGGGTAGGGCCGCGCATGAGCACATGCGCGCGTTTAACTACTATGGTGTGTCATCTAAGGGCCGTCGAGGTCGCCGGTTCGGACCGAGACCCCGACGGCCGTCGACTGTGCATTTAGCTAATCGGTGGCTGGGAGCGGTGAGAACCGCCCCGGAACGCGTGTGTACCTTGTGTACGCGTTGTGTGGGTCTCGCCGTGCTCGGAGGCGAGGGCGAACTGGTGTGATTGTTGTTACACTAACTGTGGGGTGTAGTGTTATCCGGCGGGACCCCCGGCGGTGGGTCCATCGTATCTAAGTCCTCTTCGTTGACCGGGTCGATGAGGACGTTTCGCGGGCGACGTTTTGTTTACGTTCGCGTTTGTGTCCGGTTGGTAGTTTGCTGCGCTTACCACCAGAGGGTTGGGATGATGCTGGGCTCTATCGAAGAACCGTTTTGTCAAATCTTTAAAATGTGCGCGAATCGTCGGGAGTCTGCAATCGCTGTGCAGGTCGACGTTGCGCTGATACCATTGCGCACCGGTTGCGCGGCGGATAAACTTACTTTGAACTACTTGCAATTTGTTAATGCGCGTAGGATTTATATGTGCGAAGATCATGCAAGCGTAGGACATGATTGGCCTTACGCAAGCTTTATATAATACTTTGCTTATTCGTTAAATTGTGTAGCCGGCCGGAGACGAACGCGGCTTTATTTCGGACTTGATTGATGTGCGTAGTGAAATTCATACGCGAGTCGAAAGTGACTCCTAAATATTTGACCGTTTTCTCCCAAGGGAGAGTTTGGCCATATAGTGATATTTGCCCCAACTTTCTGTACTGGCGAGGACCTTTGTAACGGTGTGGCGGATGGGGGTTGGGGGTGCTACGAGTAAAGTGAATCGCCACACTTTTTTCTGGATTAATATCGATTCTCCATTTGCGGAACCAATCGCCGAGGCGGTCGGCGGCGCTTTGGAGTCGAGTTGTTAATTGACTGAGGTTGCCATCTGAGTAAAAGAGCGCCGTGTCATCCGCGAAAAGCGCGAGATTGACGTGGGGGTCTCTAGGTATGTCGCTCGTGTAGAGCGTAAATAGCAAGGGTGAGAGGCAGGAGCCTTGTGGTACGCCGGCCGTGAAGCGGCGGCTTGTGGAGAGGGTGCCCTCGACTCGATATCGAAAAGAGCGGTTCAACAAGAAGGCCCGGATGGTGTGTACGAACCTATCTGGCACTTTGAGTGTGTACAGCTTGTAAAGCAAGCCGTTGTGCCAGACTTTGTCGAATGCTTTTGCGACATCGAAGAAGAGAGCCTCTGTACTGATGTGTTTAGGGTGGTTGAGGCCTTTTAGGATGTGCTCCGTTAGGCGGTATAACTGATCGGGACAAGAGTGTCTAGCTCGAAAGCCAAATTGTTCCGTCGGCAGAAGGCCGTTGGAAAATACGTGCTCTTTGAGCCTGTTTAACAATAGCCGCTCAAAGAGCTTCCCCAGACAACTGAGGAGGCTGATGGGACGATAGCTGGAGGGCTTATTGGCTGGTCCGGAAAGGAGCAACTGGAGAGAAGGGTATTGAAAATTGTCGCCAGTAAACAGATAAGCGGCCCAGGGAGAGCTTTGAGAATCTTATTACTTATATTATCTGGGCCCGGGGCGGATTTTGGTTTTAAATTTTTAATAATATCTTGGACCTCTTTGGGGGTCACTGAAT